TTAAAGCACAAATATCCCTCAACTATCACACCTTTGTAGTTATTCCAGAAGTATTTCTTAAGGACAAATGAAAATTGTATTCCAACAGTTCACAAATATTATGGAATAATAGTAGAGTGGAAGCTTATTATTCAGGGCTTGTTTTTTTCATTCTTGGCTTCATCTTCATCCTATCCTGTTTTGTTCCCATCCAATCTTGGCAAATTCAGCAATAATAATATTCTGCTCCAAAGCAGAGTAAGCAGGGCCCTTGATTTTAGGGCCTGAAAAAATGTTCTTTATCTTTCCCTCTTCATTATGGGTGATAACTCCTACCATTTTTGCTTAGTCATCTTAGAAGAAATTCCACTACCTAAACTTGAATTGGGGACCTTTAACCCCCGTCATAGCTTTTTCTGATTATTTTGCATGCCTGGGTTTATAAACACAATAATATAAAGTAACAGTAATTTCATTGTTTTGGAAGGCTTATATGCCTTTTGGTGCTGCAGTCTTTCTGAGACAATGCACCACTCTCTGGTTAAGAAATAAACCTTGAGCATGAGTGCAACTATGCAAATCATATATAATAAAATTGAATTGTTCCTGACATTTTTAGGGTGTTTTCCACAAATAAAGAACATGACCTGTTGCCAGCTGCCAAAAATACTTATCCTGAAAATTGGACTTCAAGCTTTAGTAATGAGATTAAAGGTTGTAATGATTTAGGATCTTAATAATAACTTTATTGTCATTGTACTTATATACACAGTATATTCATACAACGAAATTCACTTAACACCCAAAGACTAGGTCCAACACACATAACAATCCCCAAACACCCCCCCCCCACACACAAATTATCTTCTAGTGTGTATTATATTAACTTTGGTTGAAAGAGCAGTTACCACAGTTGGTAAGACTACGGGTGAAGGCTACTCTATCTAAAAAACCCTGGTTTTGGAATGTTTTCTCTGAAAGCCAGACTAGTGCCAGGGTTGACTGCTTTTTAGCTGGCAGTTGAACCTGGCTGTTATCTCATTGTTGTTGTTTTTCTATTGCTGGGTATTATTCTAACAATTTATTATTTTTACTTTAGTTTAATTTTCATCTAATATATTTAAGGGTTGTAACTTGCTCCGAGAATCTTAGGATTGTAGGCAAATAATAAATAATAAATCTAATATTTAAAAAGGTAAAATAAAATAATATGCCTCTGTTATGGGAACATGCACTCTACTTGCATCGTTCAGGTAAATAAATGCCAAGTAACATTGCTTGATTGATTGGAGGAACACTTGAATTAAAAATCTGCTTCAATGTGTCCCAGAAAGATTGAAATTTTCTGTTCACCAAGTACATTGCACATAAAATATTGAACTTTTAACTGCTCTAGTGAAGCAGTTAGCATGAAGCAAAAGCTATATTTGTATTTTGGAAAGGAAAGCTATATTTATATTTCTGAAAAATTGTTATTTAAAATATGTTCCATTATGTTCAGAATGTCATTCTGGAACTGTAATTGTGATCTTCAGTTCAAGTATTTATTAGTTGAATTTCAATATGAAAAGAACCTATTCTATCTCCTGTTCTAGGTGTTCCTTCTGTGATACCTTACTAAGAGAGAGGTACTTATATTTGAATGAGGAAAACAGACTATTCTCTGCAGCATGCAGTTATTTTAGTAATTTATATGATAACTAATAGCATTATGTGCAATGCTTAGGAAACACAATAAAAAGTTACTAATAAAGATCATAAATTGATTTCTGCTAATAAATGAAAATGAATGGACAAATGACTTAATAAATGATCAAGAGCCATGGGTAGAATTTCTAAATTGTAATTCTGGGGGGAAATGATCCTTTGATAACTTTTCTAATGAGACTGGAGAAAGTTGAGGAAAGACGTTATAAACTCCCAAACAAGAGGGAGTGGTAACTATAAAGGAAATAGAAGAAATACAGATAGTCCTCCCTTAGCGACCATTACTGGGATCACTGACTCTGTTACTAAGTGCCATAGTTGCTAAATGGAAGATAATCTGTTATGACATCACCTCCCATTTCTTCATTAAGAGAAACAACATATGACAGTGATTTGCAATGTTACTTCCGTGTTCTCCATTACTTTTATGTCAACTTTGAACCGAACCTGGCTGCAGCCATCTTTCTGGTCCTCTTTCTGGTTGCCACACAGAGGGGGGAACGAGGTTGGAATGCATTACTAGACACAACAAAGAGCTTTCTCATGAGAACCAAGGTCATATCTACTGACAAGAGATAAGGTTGGGAAAGGAGTGTCTGAAGAGCCTGCCAATTAACCCAATTGGCCTTAACCTGTGACACTTGGGGATGGGGATATTTCCTAGTTTAATTGTACTGAAACCACAGGAAAGATTTAGATTTGGCTTTCCATTGAAGCTGTGCCAATATGATGTACTCATTAAAGAAGACCTTTGAGAAGGAGCCAAGTCTCAGAGTTCTGATTTGCTTGGGTTCGTTAGTCGGAGCCTTGACACTTTGCTTCTTACAAGCCAGTTGTCAAGCATACAAATTGTGATTGTGTGACTGCAGGACACTGCACAGATTGTAAATGTGCATCAGTTGCAAAGCCCCTGGATGTTGATCAAATGGGATGCTGCAATGGTAGTAAAATTGGTTACAAAGCTTGGTGGGGTTTTTTACTTTACTGTAACTTTTACTTTAAATGAAGTGGCCAGTAAATAAATATCTGCGATCTGGAAAAGAAATTAAAAGAAAAAAAAAGGAATCTGAAAATTGTATTAGATTGTTTTAGGACTATCCATTCTTTAAGGTTTGTTAACAATAATTTTTATTTCTCTCTGTTGATTTATGTTGGCTGAAGATTAAGAAATTGAGAAAAGCTGCTTTATCATCATCAAAAGAAGTCTAATAGTGAACTGTCTTCTTTACCTGAGATACCTGGGTTCAATCCTGAATCATTTTTGTTATCATTATGAAGATAAGTCACAGAATCCTAAAGGGGAGAAGCCATTAGGTTACTCAGTCTATCCTACTGCTTAATGCAGAGGCTTCACTTAAAGCATCTCTGACATAAATCTAGCTTCTCTATCCAGTGAAGGGGAGCTCATCGCTATAAGAATAATTGATTCCATTCTTGTATTGTTAGGATTCCGCCCTCCCCCCCAACATTCAGTCAGAATCTGCTCCCTGAAAATTTCATGTTCAGCCTTCCGGAACAATGGAGATGGGTCACAACCTCCTTCTGTACAAATTTCCCAATATTGAGCAGTGTAGCTGAAATTGGCAATAGGAAAACTAACCTTTCCATCATTTGAGAAGAAATACAACAGATTCTCCACTTTGGATGAATAATTTCAGTGCTATGTTTTATTTGCTCGCTTGCTTAATTCGTCTCAACGGTAACAGCAAATACGCCTCCAGAGCCTCTTATCTCTTTTCCCACTCTAAGCCCCCTCAAAAGGGGTGACAGCTAAACTCTGCAGGGCTCTCTCCATATGCCCAGACAGGTTTGGAGAAGAGGAGGTGGTGGAGGAGGAGGAGATGACAGTTCTTTTCCCAATCTCTTCTTCTTACAAGCCCTCATGAAACAGATGAACTCTAGATAAGGGAGGGAGAGACAGTAGAAATGGGGGAGGAGCTCCTGTCCCATGCAGTGTGTGCCAGCTGGCTTTGTCTATCTCATCTTTAAAAGAAAGCAGTTACTTATCGCTTTCCTTCCCCTGTGCTTAAGGTCAGAATGGAGAGGACACAAATGGACAAAAGAACAAGTTTCTTGAATATGCTTTGTTAAGTGGGAGTATTCAAGCTTGCTATTAAAAAGAACAATAATGTGTCCCCAAGATTGCTGGCCAGAATAGTCAAAGTACCTTGCAATCAACTTATTTTCTGATAGTAATTTTTAAAAATACGCTCTTACTATAAAAGACTGCTGCAGAAGCCTCATGTAATTCCTTTGAGTTACTCTTTTATCACCACAAAGCTTTTTACATGGAGCTGCCGTATTAATGTTTTTGTATCCTCCTCGTCATCACCATTCATTTTTCCCCCTTTGGAAGCACACATGGCAATGTGCACTAATGTTATCCCTACAAGAGCAACCTCGAAAGAAAATAACTGGCCTAATGTCACCCTGTAAGCTTTGTAGTTGAGGAGGGACTTGGAAAATTCAACCTCTTCACTATTATATGACTCTGCCTCTTCATAAGTGGGTCATGTTTGAAGCCGCCTTGTACTTGTGGTGATTTGCAGCAGGGTTATAACAGTGAAGGTCATCCGTGAGGGATTTCTTTAAATAACCTACGAAGAGCAACTATGTGGTAATGAACATTATAATGGATTATCCCAACAGACATAAACTCAAAGAATATCAGACCAATTAATTGACTGCAGAAAGGGCTTATAAATATATTCTTAGAGCACTTTGTTGCTGTGGAATACCAATGTTTGATTTTATAATGTGTTTATTGTTCTGACTTTGAATAAACGATTGTTTATTGTTCTGACTGTAAATAAACCATTATCTATGTTAGTATGTCCAAGGTTTTTTATTCAGAAAAATAAAAAACAGGAGCATTCTTTAATAGAGTTTTTCCAATTTAAATTCAATACAGTGTAATGTTTGATTTCTCTTGTTGCTTCCTGTTCTTAATAAGTGATAAAACGTAAGGATACTAACAAAAAAAATATCATGATTGTGAGTCAGAGCATGAGAGCAAGGGCAAATGACAACACATGCTTTATAATGTCATCAGGAGAATGTCTTTGCATGAGACATCATTGCATAATTACTGCTTGTGCACAGTGATGGCAAACGTTCTTATTTTAATATTATTATCATTGCTATCAATTGTAAGGATGAATTTTTTCCCTATAATTTCTATAACTGGTATTTCATCAGCCAAATTGTCACTGTCTCATGAAAATTCTACCATAGAAAGGGTTCTAACATAATTCAAGTAGAAAAAAAATGCATAACATAAAACATTACTATGTTTTTGTCTCCTTCTGGTATAGTGGAAGCTCTTCATTTGGGAACACTTATGGCAGCCCATGGTTATTTCTTTCCTATCTCAGATCATGTTCTAACTCTGAAGGATGATGGTACCTTTTATCGGTTCCAAGTAAGTTTTTACAGCATTGTTTTTAAAACTTTAACTAATTATTAGAAGTAGAGTTATTCACCCCAAACAATAAGCAATTCTATTCTTAAAGTGATGGTCTAATCCAGGGGTCAGCAACCTATGGCTCTGGAGCCGATGTGGCTCTTTCATTCCTCTGCTGCATCTCCCTGTTGCTGGTCGGCTCCACAATTGATAGGGCTTTTGGTTAGGACATGTAGAGGAAAAAGGATGCTGCGTTAGGAGGAGACTCTATGGTGGGGGAACTGACTTCCAGTTGGCAGAGGAAAAAGGACACCAGGCTAGGAGGAGACTCTATGGTGGGGGAACTGGACTCCTGGTCAGCTCTAGAATTGAACGGGGGCTTCCGGTTAAGACCTTTGTGGCTCTTTGAGTGTTTAAGGTTGCTGACCCCTGGTCTAATCAATATGTACCTCATTCTGTCAGGTAGAGATACTTTTCTTTTCCCCACAGAGAGTCTCTTAATATTATGTTAATGCAATAGTCTTCCCTCATTTCATGCTTCCTAAATGATCTGATCTATAATCACTAGAACTCCTAGAAAATATGACCAGTGGATATGAATTATGGAAATAGTACTATTGGGAAAGTCTATATATTTGGCCTTTCATAATCAGCACCACTTTTTATATTTTAATGTACAGATTATTTACAGGTTTTGTCTTTCTTCTAATCCATAGTTTGATTAATTGTACGAAAAAAGCATAGATTAGGGCAATATGTCAGTGAAGATTCCCCAGTCAGCCAGCAAGAGTTGTACGGAAGTTGAGTCAAGGAAACTGGCTTCTTTTCTTTTTTGGTTTCAAACCAAAAGTTGGCATGCCTCAATTTCCAGACATAGGCTAGGACCTTTTGACAAACAGGTGCAACTAAAACCTGGTTTCAAGCTATTCATTACAGTCAGGCAATTCCTTGCATTCAAGAACAGTACAAAGTATTTAGAAAAGATCAAGAATTCCTATTTATAGAAGAAACTGATTTCAGCTTAATATTGGGTTACTTACACAATTTCAGATTGGGGAGTGCTAATAGAAGTGTTTTTTTGTTTTTGCATTTAATGCCCCACCTGCAGCATCTCAACTCTCAACACAAGACTCTCAACACAACAACAATAATATCAAAAATCCATAGCCTTAGCATTGTCACATAAAAAGAGTTTTGGGAACAAGGTGATATTTAAATTGAATGGAATTAATTAATTAAGCACAGCTATTCAAATATGCAGATTTATTCAATCAATAATTCCCAAGAATAGCTAATTTTATCATATTTTATAGCTGCCCATCTCACAGTGACTCAAAAATTGACATTCAGAATATGTATCATGTGTTGCTTTGTCCAATATTTTTTCTTTGTTTTGTTTTGCAGACACCCTATTTTTGGCCATCTAATTGTTGGGAGCCGGAAAATACAGATTATGGTCAGTGTGCATCTCATTTCTTTCAGTCTGGAGTCTTGCAGTGAATGGACTAATCTGTTAATTTACAGTTTATAATTAAGCAACTCTTAGCTGTATTTTTCAAACCTAGGGTGAGAACTGCTAATGCTGAGTTCAAGATTGGCTTTGGTTTACAAAGTTTACTAAGGCAGAGGTCAAATCAGTGCACAGATTGGAAATACAAAGAATGCATCTCCTTTTGCAAAGCTACAGACATTTATTTAGAAGAAGATTCAGAGACTGCAAATCTGACATTCATATTATGACAGGCAACAGGTTAAGAAGGTCCAAAGCTGAAAACTAATTCAGGGCCAGTCAAACAAGAAGTTATGGGAATGTAGTCATGGATAGCACAGTCCCCATGTGGTAATATCTTACTTATATTATTTAGGCATTAATAGTTATTTAGATAAGTTTTTAGTTACAGAAAAATGTAACAATGTTCATTCAATAATACTTACAATATTCTTACAGTCTGCTAATTTTGTTTGTAATAATATTTATGATATAATTATAGTTTAAAGGTTCTATACATTAAACTAAACATTTACCATGAAATATCTTAAACAAAGTGACCGAGTTATTCATCTAACAATGTAAAATGCAGATTCTGTTTCAAAATACTCATACATGTAACTGATTGTAGACCTATATTGCTCTCTTGTCCATTCATGTTGGACTATGGTTACTGTCATTCTTTGCTTCAGTATGGATTCTAGTTGCAATGAAAAAAGCAAATAGCTACTATTCATTATTGTTTTTAAATGTATATGTGGAAATAAAGTAAAAAATTAGCTGGGTATCAGGGAACTTTTAAAATATGAGTGTCAGAGCATTAAAATTCAGCATGATTAAAATGGTTGATAAAACACTGATAATATATTGAGATTATGCCCCTTCAGCCCATGCTCACTTTATGCTTAGTTGAAAAATCCTATTGCAAAGTTCACATAAACAATACTTTGTTTAACTTGGAAATCCTTGACCTTCTGCAGATACTTGCAAAATAAATAAATGACCAAGGTCATTTGCCCAAAATTTGGTCCTAGCATCAGAAAACTAATTATTTACGCATAGTGCCAATTTTATTGGATAGGTTTTATGTCATTTCCTTACTTCAGTCCCTAAAACATTGGTATGCTATCTTATCCAGATAGAGGATTTGGCTTATCAGTAGTGTACTAAGAGGGGTAGGACAACTATGAAATTGCAATAAATTAAGATTAAACTCTTCCCCATATATTTCATTGTTTTGTTTTCTCAATCCATTAAAATAATAAGGCATTAACTTGAGGCAGGGTGGTTTCTAAAAGATGCGTGTATCCTTGGGCCATCAGACTGTGTACTGCTGCCCTGAACTGTTTTTGTTCTAGAGTGGAGGTGTGTAGTATTCAGATCCAAAATGGACAAAGATACTTTGGATATGGTGTGGACATCTTATTGCACCTATTGGGTGCTTCTTAAAGGACTAGAGGTTTGTCCTGGCTTTGCCTGATAACAATTTGGCTCAGGAAAATACAAAGGATTGCTTCTTCCTTAGCTCAGAATGTATTTTACTGTGCCATCCATATGCAAACTGCAAGCTCTGAAGCACCTTTGTCTACTTCAGATCCAAATTCTGTACTTCACTATTCCAGATCATTGTATCTAAAGACACTTTACCCTAACTCACTGCCCTTGTCTGAAGGGGGAAGTTATACTACATTGTTGTAGTCTAAGATATCTGAAGGGGTCCCGCAGCAACAAGGGTACCTGCTTTGGGTAAATTGGCAGCTGGGCAAGTGCAATCTAACCCACATCCTTTTTGTACATGCATCCAATATTAATATATGTGCAAAAAGACTGGGGTTTAGATCATGTTGCCATGACTTGCCTATTTTGACCCCATAACCCTCCGTGGAGCCAATAGGAAAAGATTATTTTAGCGGATAATGCATCAAAACATATGTCATCCAGTAGTATGCAAAACACCTGTACATACTGTTTTCCATAGGATATAATATTTCAATCTAGTAAATTAATTTTTCTAGATTGCACAGCCTGAATAATCCTTCAATCAATTGTTTCTGTGTTTTTAAGTATATTCTGAATTATAGAAACTGACTTCCACACCATGAAAAGCTTCACATATTAACTATTATTAGACGTGACTACATTAAGAATGGCACATTCTGGCTGTTTTTGTTATGTAGAAAGGAACCCAACTGCTTAACATAAGGTAGTGTTTCCTTGTCTTCAAGAATTCATCACTGAAAAGCATATTCTGAATAACGTGGAATAAAGTTACAGGGAAGGAATTAATACTGCTAGCCGCACAGATACTTTAGAGCCGTTTTAGAACTTTAAAGGATGAAGCAGTAAAAATGAGATTGAATGACAATACTATGTGCCTGTTTCCATCAGGACTCAGATTTCAAAGTAGGAAGCATAGCATAGGATTGCATTCTTTGGAAGCTAGCCCATTTTAATGAAATGTTAATCCCAAGAGGGTCCACGTTTACAGAAACTGGAAGGTCAATCTCACATTTATCTTTCTTTTTTAAACAACTGTAAATCAAGGAATTCTTTCTTTCTCTCAAACCAGTTAGAACTGATTTGGAAATAGTCCCTCATCCCTTTTGTGAGTTGTTCTTTGATTTTCACCAAAGTTATGAACAAGCTCTTTCTGAGGTGATATCAAGTGATGCATTCCTTGAAACACATCATTTAATGCTGCTTTGATTAATATCTGTGTATAAAGCAAGGTAGTTCTGCCTGGGCACTCTGAGACTGATTATTATCACAGCAGTCCCTGACAAGCCTGTAAGTACATATCAATATGAGAGACAGACTAAGTCTTCCTAGTCTAGTATTTTGTTTCTCATTATAGCCAACCAGTTGTCTGTAGGGTGCTGGCAAGTGGGAGACAAGAGTGGAGTGAAGGTAGAGGAATTCTACTGTACTTTCAGATGCACAAGCTCTCTAAGGATTAATGGGTGGATCAACCTGAAGGCAGGGAAAATCAAACAGTGAAGAGGCATTCAGGAACTCACAGGCTTGAAATCTCTCTCCTTTACTCTCTCCTGAATATTTGTTATCCCCCTCTTCAAAGCTGGCTACAAACCATAGAACAGTGTTGTTTTATTTTGTGGGCTAGATTGGGGTTGCTTTGCCTAAACCCTTAGTGAAGGGGATTAAATCCCCCTTTTGGCTTGTGTAGGTCCAATTTTTTCTTTATTTTGCAACATAGTCATCTTTTATACTTACAAACGAAAGTGAATACATGTGTCCCAGGATAATGTTGCAGGATCCAATCTTGGTCGGTCACTGGGACCAGAGGTTTTGTCTTCCGAGCTTTCAGACTCATGCTGGAGCCTGAGTCTTCAGGGAACTTCTCTCTAGCAGAATATGTGCTGTTCTGTGTGTAATATTTATAGTGCCTGTTGTAAGTGGCTTTGTAGATGTTGATTGGGTTGTGTTGATGGCTGCCTTTTAAGTCATTAGTTGTCTTTTGCTTGTGCTGCTTTGCCTTCTGAGTACTTGATAGGCTGGGGGTAAATCAGCATTGCTGTTGACTGACGAGGGGCCTGTATCCCAGGCTTCAATCACTTCCCTGGCTGTTTTTGTGCCTGGTCGTCCAATATTCAACTTTGCAGTGACAAAGATTGTTGCCTTCGAGTCAGTGTTGACTCCTGTCCACTGCTTGGACAAATCCTTGCAGTTTTCTTGGCAAGATTTCAGAAGTCATTTGCCCTTGCTTCTTTTCTAGGACTGAGAAAGAGTGACTGTCTCAAGATCATCCAGTTGGTTTTGTGCCTAAGGTGAGACTAGAACTCACAGTCTCCTGGTTTCTTACTACTACACTAAACTGACTTTTCCAATTAGTCCTTTCCTCCCCCCCCTTTTCTTTTTCTCTCATCAACTGTCTTCTAGGTCTGTGATATTGCTATATATAATAGACATTTAATAAGCTCAGTAAGCCAGTGGTGCTCATTCTGGGAAAGCCTATAACACATGCCTGTCCCACTATAGTAGGGCCCAATATATGATAGCCCATACTGGGGTGTGTTCCATTACACAGAGACATCACTCATCTCCCACAGTCATTCCTTTGAGACTATTTTTTGGAGACATGCTGTCCCCAATTCCAATGTAACACAGTGAGTCTTCAAGATCAATAGCGCTCAATAGACTTGGTTTTCTATGAATTTATCTAGTTTTTTTTTAACATCATCCATATTAAGTGGCCATGCCATAAAGTAATTAATGCACCATGTAAAGAAGTGGTTTTCTGCTTGGTATGTATTTAAAGAAGTTCTTACTGTTCCCTTTTATGTTTTTTAACCACACATTCCTCAGACTCACCACACATTCCTCAGACTCACTCTCTCTGTATGTTTCTGTCTCTCTGTCTCTGTTTCTGTGTCTGTCTCTGCATTCCTTAATGTCCCCTGATATTTTTTCTGTGCTTCTTTTGGGTCTTTCTTATTAGAACAAGCTTTCAATTTCCTCAAGGAAGCCTTCTTAACTTTTACAGCTCCTGGGGATTATTAGAAAACTTTGACTTTGGATTAGTTGATCTTTTATTCTTCAAAACAATATACCCTCTTGTTCTTTGATGCACATTTGAAGACAATGATGACTAGATGGAGTAGCAATCTGGTCAAACAGATATTAAAATTTAGTAGGGTGTAATTGTTTTAATGGAAGTAATGTCTAGTATTCTACTTCAATCCCTGACTCAGCTTCCACTATATATAGAAAGCTGTGGGTTTCCTGCAAAGTAAATGCAGATAAAGTATAATTAGTCCACTTGTTTGCTCATAGTTTGGAATCTCATAATTATCTGGTCTCTCTTGGCCAAAAAGACATGCTAAAATAAAAACAAACATATGGCTTTGATGAGCTTGAAGGTACAATTAAGTCGCTGACAGCAGAGCAGAGTGGGAAAGCAAAACATCTCCAAGTAAATCTGAAAAGCGATTGTCGTGTTGGAATGTATT